AACCTGAGGCTGACTATATCTTGTTCTTGAAATGCTAAACTGTGGTTTATCATTGAATCCAAATTATCACCTTAGGTTTTGGAACGGTAAGTAATCCTTTCTCACTTTTACTTCTCCAATCAGGTCAACTTTTTGAAAAACAGAGCACGAAGGTATAGCATTTGCCTGCAGACTTTACCAATTGGTTTCACAAAGAGGCGAGAGAATTCTACATATTTTAGCAATAAGTAAGTTTCAAGTTAATGTTTACATTTATTTTATTATATTTATATCCCACATTTTTTCTCCAAAGAATTCAAGGTAGTGTGCTTAATTCTCTTATTTCTTCTTCTTTGTGTTAGAGTTTAGGCTAAGAGTCAATGAATGGCTCAGTGACCATCATTAATTAAGTCATTTAATTTTTATGCTGTCCATGACCGAATGGGGACTCAAAATACAGATCTCCTGAGCTCCGGTCTAACACCTCTGTGTGACACTGTGTAGTAGGGGGATAATTCAGCAAAATTCTTCATTCTGAGCCAGTTCTGCTCAGCTTGTGATCTGCTGAGCTAATACTAACTCACCAGCCAAATAGTCACTCACCATATGCTCAATTCACTTGTTTTTGCTATCTGCATAGAATTGCTGGAACACATAGGTTGTCAGATGTGTGGTAGACCATAAAACACAACTCATGGACCATTCTCAGCTTAATCTGTTCCCAGCATATGTAGGCCTCCTCAAACTCAATATTTATGAACCAGTAAACTATCCCTAAGGGTGCAATCCCGTGCAAGTTTAGATAGAAAGAAGGCTTACAGTACCCAGCATGATGGGAGATGTAGGCTTTTTTGTGTCTAAATTTCCCTAGGTTTGTACCTTAAGAGAGGAGCAACATGCAGCGATATTGCCGCTGCTGCCGTGACTTTGGTCCTCCTCTTGCGCCTGCAGCACCCACAAGTATGAAAGGGAGCACTTCTTAAAGCAGCCAAGATAGAGTGAACCAAGATTTCCAAGAGAGAGTAGTAGGTCAGTGGAGCTCATTTCTGCCCTGTTCTGAAAGCTAGCGTTTTAGCTTTTGGCCCAAATAATGTAAGACTTATTAGCTTCCCCTTGCACTTGTGGTGAGTTGCGCTTACATATAGGCAATACTGGATACTGCACTAGGTGTATGAATGAGACAGCACACTAGTTTTCAGGTGCAAGTATTAAATCCCTAGAATCATGCTGAGAGAAACTATTCTTGGAATCAAATAGTCCTTATTTAGGAGTCTTGGAACTGAAAAATTAATACCTTTTTGAAAACAAACTGTGTTTTATGGTCTTTTGAGACATCATCTTGTTTTGCTTCTCTGATACAGGTGGATCCTGCTCACTACTGACCTCAGTTACTTACAATTCCCAGTCAGTCAGCTGATTTATATGGGTGGTTTATGACAAATTAATTGGGAGGGTTGCTCTTGCAATCAGTATAATCATCCGAAAATATTGATATTAATAGTCAATTAGAAGCTCTTGGGTGCTGTTGAAAGGTGCTCTAGATTATGTCATTTCTCTTGTTTACAGAAGGTGATGAAAATTAAAGGTGGCATTTCAGTTACAAACCAGTAGATGTCTCTCGTGCAAAATAGTAGCTACAGATTTCCCAGCAGTAATGTGCTTGCAAGTAATTAGCAAGCAAGACCATTTAATTGTATTATGTTAAACATATACTTTCTGAACTGCTTGGGAGAATTCTATATTTGAATATAAAGAACATGCAAAAATGTCATTTAACTCTAACTTGTGGGATGTAAAACATATTGCCAGTATTAATTGCATCTATTGGTCTCTGTAGCAAGAGCACACTTCAGTTGTGGAATGTAGCTGCAGCAGTGTATAGCCACAGTTTATAGCCACATGCATGCATTCATCACAGATGCAAAGAAGCTGGTTTCCTAGAAATGGTGTAGGGTAGTATATATGGTTCTTATCCTCAACCCTCTGCTATCCCCTTTTATTCTCTGAAATAAGTTGAACAGATTTAACTTACTGAGCTTCAAGACTTAGTAAATATTTGAAGCAGGTTCTCCCCAGTTCTAATTGACATATTATTTGCTACACTGTGCTACAATGAACAGTTGGAAATCCAGGTTTCCAAGGAAGGAAAAGTCCCAGATACTTGGTTAAAAAGATGTCCCACTCATCCCCAGGATCATTGTTGGAACCTAAAGCAAATGATGACCCCCTAAAATGTTGGCTGCTAAAAACCTGAAATATTTCTAACCCTCAGATTATATCAGTTCTCAGCTGTAATTCTTATACACATGGCAGGTTAGTTTAAAACTTTTGTGCAGAATTACACAAGCAGGCATATTAAACCTGCTTGCATACACAGTTGTTGTTCCTTCTTCCTCTTGCAAAAAATAGATTAGTTTGCCTTAACCTGGATAGCTATTATGATAATGATCTTTGCTAATTAGGGTTTCTTCAGTCAGCAGAATGAAGGCAAAATGTTATCTTCACAGTGAAAACACATGCCCACCACCAAAAGTGTCACTCAACACATACAAAATATGTACAAAGGTGTGACACAATAAGGAACTGACCAAGGGAAGCCTAGTTTAAAAATGCATTTGGGAATTAGAAGCCATGATGTCAAAACAATTGTGGTCACTGATTGCCAATTTCAGAACATGTATGAAAGCCTGGCCTTCAGCATGTATTCTATTCATGTTGTATTCATGTTGATCTGGATGCATGGTAAGCATACATTTTAGACAGATTCTTAGATCTGGATACTCTGAGTTACATCTCAGTCATTCTTGTAAATGTTTACTAAATAGTTCCAGAAAAATCTTGAGAAATAGAAACAATTGAATCATCACAGGAGCACAGTTTCTTTTCCTGCGGCTCCTAATTCTGCTGCAGTGTGTTTGAGCATTACAGCAAATGTTATGGATTAGTTTCTTCTGCTGTTCTGAAGTCTCTAGTAGAAGCCTGTATGTGTCAGATGAAAATGTGCTTCAGTCATTTCTTCGTGAATTGACTTGTTTCACAAAGTATGATGATTAAGAACTCGTTGAACTCCCAGTAAAGTTAACAGGACTTTCCTTGCTTATCTGTCAAATCTCTGTTGGATGGTTAGTGTCACCTAACTAAGCTTTACTAAAGCCCCCTTTCTCACCCCAGTGCCTCATGATGTAAGAACATCCACTCTGTTATATTGACGCTTCAGTGAATGGTGTGTCATAAAACTCTCAGCATTAATTTACTTTAATGAGATTTGAGGGTTTTCACAGGAGACTGTAATCATTTAATTAGGCTGGATCTGTGTTGTTTACAGAAGCCTAGGAGAAATATAAAATTCTACAGGGGTCTAGGTTACTGAAAAATGAATTATGCAGGGCTATAATTCAGTTCACAGGTTCAAGGATGAACACTGCTTCACCGTTTGCCTACTTCTGTAGCTCTTCCATTCATTTTACTGGTATAGAGCAAGATGACTTGGAGGCTTTGTGCAGGAAAGTAGGCTATTTCTTAAGAATTTGCATATTTCAAGTAGCACTAGAGGTTTCTGAATATGAGTTGCCTCATTTGAAAATGTTACCAAGTATTTTATCTTACTTCTTTTTAAAATAAAGGTTCAGATTAGCACAGAATTAAGGAATATATTTGCATGTAATTATGTTTGTGTGGTAGCTATAACATGCCATTCCTGTGGCTTCACTGTTGCTCTTAACATACCTCAGCATTATTTTTCACAACATCATAGATAGATCCCCTCAGGAGCTCATGATTATCCTGGCTAAATAACAGATGCTTAGCATATAGTGGCCCATGTCCAGTGAACTTATGATACACGATTACATGAACACAAATAAATAATCACTAGTTAAAAGAAGAACAAATCCATTCATAATTACTTCGGCTTAACTTTTTTCTACTAACACCCATGTGAATGCAGCACTTGGCACACATAACTTGTGGTTAATGTTTCCAAAATTTTCATCTTTTTCATAACTTCTGATTACTCTTTTTCATTTAAAAAAAAACCCCCCATAGTTAGGCCTGGTTCTGTGATGATCCTGTGAATTCTTGGTTAAATTTCCCAGACTCAAGTAAATAGTTGCTAATTTCCCCTTTGTCAACCAAAGGTAGGATTCTTCAAGCGAAAGGGTGAGAATGGGGTACAGGGCATGAAGCAAATAGCCACAAGTAATTCATGCCATGTGCCAATGATTCTATTAAATGAGTGGTTTAATGCAAGGATAGGAGAGCTTTTCCATAAGTCACTGCACTTTAGTTCCTGTCATCCCATCCCATCACTGACTTGGGTTGATAGGGATTGGAGCCCAAGAACATCTGGAAGACTCCAGGTTGCCCATGGCTTATTTAATGTCAAGTTTATTCAACTGTTAGCTCTCCCCCTATGTAGATAGTAACATAGGGTACTAGCTTATAGGTCTGTCTAGTCCAGTACTGGTGACACTGCCAGGCAATGATATAGCAAGACTTCAGGAACGATTGATTATTTTCTAGCCCTTTCTGAAGAAGCCATAAATTGAACTTGGGACCTTTTGAATGCAAAGCAAGTACCCTACCACTGAGATAACAAATAAAAACATAATGGTAAAAAAAAAGTTACAAAAGCAGGTGAGTACCACTGTTCACTAATTGCAGGGATGGTCAGTTCAGAAGTGCTCTGAACTGCTCCCAGCACAGTTTTCATGTCTTTTGCAGTGAAACAAAAGCTAATGTGCAGTTTGTGTATTTTGAATGGTCTGGTCTGGTCTTGCTTTGTTTAAACAGCCTGAATGGGATCTGCACTCAGATTTCTGTGTGTTGTGGATTAGAAAGGCCTATGAGTAGGGTGGATTCATATTCTTTATATGTTTGTTAATTCATAGAATGGAAAGGAATCATACTTGGTCAAACAAATGATGAGGGCTAAATAAATCCTAGAGAGGCCTATATCACCTTTGGAAAGCAATTACTCTAAAGCAACTACTCCTCTTGTGTGTGCTATACATTCACATTCCATTTTTCAGATTGGAAAAATGCCCCCTCTCTCCTCAGTGATTCAATGCTTTTCATTCAGCTTGAGGAAGTACTTCCTTTGCTGGTCCTGCATGACCGATTTTACAGCTTTTAACAACTACCAGCAAGGTTTTACTGGATTACCTAAGAGCTATATGCACAAAGAGATCTCAAATGTTTTTAGAGATACCTCAGCATGCTTAAGATTCACCATCTGTCTTACAGGCACATGAATGTATGATAGGAGGAACATACTGGATTAGGAGTGCAGAAACACTATTTGGAGAACCCCTTGGCAGTCTTTTCTTACATACCTAAAACGAGATGTGTATTACCACATGGGCATTGCATTTACCACTCAGAGTGCTGCTTTCTCACTTAATGAGTTGCACCTGAAAATCCACAGCAAGTCTGCCGATGATAGGGACAACCTGTGCCTTTCCAGATGTTTTGGCCTAGAACTCTTATTAGCCCAGCCAGTATAGCCCATGGTGGAGCATGATGCAAGTTATAGGCCAAAACAGTTGAAGACCCACAAATTGCCTACCCTTACTCTTGGATAGAGGTTTCAAACAGGGATCGTGTATGGACATTTGGCGAAATCCCAGTTTTTGTGAGGTGGCCACATATTCACTGCTCAGAATATTGGACTAGAACTGGGAAGAGCCAGGTTCTAGTCCCCACTTACCCCTAAAGCTAAGAGAATTTGGACCAGTCACTGACTCTGACTAACCTACTTCACATGGCTGTAGGGATAAAATGGAGAGAAGCATTGTGAATGCTGCCTTGTGTTCCCTGCAGGAAAAGAGCAGGGTATAAATACTCAGGGTAATAAATATAATAAAAAGGATTATACTTGCCCTGTATAGAAGAAAGGCACTGAGACACATTTTGAATTTTTGGCTGCGATCAGAGTGCCCTGAGACTCCCCAGTCTTGTCAGCATTAACACTTAGAACTAGATCAGTTACACTTCCATTACTAGTATATTTAGCTGGTATATTTCCTTGTTTCCATGGGTTTTTCTCACTTTTCTCTCTCTTGTTCTGCTTGCTCCCCTCATGCTCTCATTCTCCATTTTCCCTGCCCCCACACTACTCCTTCATATATTCATCTGTTTCTTTTCAGCAGTCCTTGACATGTCATTTGTCCCTTGCCCATAATTTTGCTTTCCTGAACTCCAGACTCTTCTTTTTTTTCATCCCTCCATCTTTCCAGCATCTTTCCTTTTTCATACATTTTTAATGTAGTCCCTTCCCAGCTGCACAATTGCTTCTGTCTCCCCCTGCTGGCAATCTTATTTCACATTATGCTGAAAATCCCCTTCCAAAAACCAGATCCTTTATTTTTTCCCTTCTAAAAGTTAATTTTTTTACAATAAAGATAAGCAATCTTTCTGGGACATGTGGGTATTTTTGGTAGTCTGAAAACTGTCATGAGCACCACCATAAAATGAATTTAATAGGAAGCAGTGTTAGTTAGAAAGCTTAAGTAACTTGCCCAAATAATTGTGCACAAGGCAGAGGTGAAGTCCAAGCTTCAATATACAAAATACCTCATTTAGTATTCATGGGAAATGAGGGTGCGGCAGCTGGAGGTATTCACTTTGCTTAGAAGTGCTCTCAGTTTCAATTAAGAAAATGTATTAATTTAAGCATCTTGGTGAGCATGACATTGCCTACTATTTTACATCAGACACTCTAGTAATGTATCTTTTCTAGCAAACCTACATCTTGATCTTCATGTAAATTTTGCAAAATATTGTGCTCATTATTGTGCTTTACAATCCAACTGGCTTAGATATCTTTTGTACATAGTGATAGATTGCTCCAGTGTTTTGCTGTTGTGCATGCATTTGTGACCAGATAGATTCAACTGAATATTATTTTATTTGTCCAGTGATCGAAGTACCATTGCTATGGCATAACTATTGTTTTCATGTGCTATTGTAGGGTCCTTTACACTTGATACTTGTGCTTATATATAGGCTTGTATGTGAAGAAGTATTTTCACATCTCAGATCTCAGAAAAGCAGCATTTATAAAGTTTAAACCACACAGAAAGCAAAGGAAGTGTGTTTGCAAGTGTACTGTCACATTTAATTCTGCTCAGTATTGATTAAATTATAGTTGTGTAAATAAATGTTAGATGGAAGCAATTTAAAAGTTTGTTACCTGCACATCTGATCATATGAAGAAGCTGTGTGATGATATTACCTGAAGGAGCGCTTACATCCATATATGCCCGGCCGCCCCTTGAGATCGGCGGGAGAGGCCCTTCTCCGGGAACCCTCCGTGAAAGAAATTAGGAGGGTGGGTACTCGGAGGAGGGCTTTCTCTGCGGTGGCGCCTAAGTTATGGAATGCGCTCCCCAGAGAGGTCCGCCTGGCGCCGTCGTTATTTGTTTTTCGGCGCCAGGCGAAGACCTTTTTATTTAAGCGGCATTTTAATTGTTAATGTTATCGGATTTTATCTAGCCAGGGTGGCTTATTTTATGTTGGTATTTTTGTATTTTTAACTTAATGTTTATATTTTTTTAATTTAATGTTATAGTTATTTTTTAACTTATTGTTGTAAGCCGCCCCGAGGCTTCGGCGAATGGGGCGGCATAAAAATGTTTTAATAAATAAATAAATATTAATACTTTTTCCCCAACCTCTTTTCTGTTTGGAATCCCTCTCTAGTAGAACCCTAGCAATTGCTATTCTAATCAGTAGTTTACATAAGAAAGCATTGAGTGTCTGTATTGGTTTTATTTCAGGGAACACAAGTTCTATTGGCATTTGAAGCTTGTATTTCCTCACAGTGATGCTACATTTACAGAAAAAAGGTATATGAATATTTTTGTCAGCAGGAGCTCTGTAATATGAAACTTAAACATCTGTTGCTGTATTCTGTTTTACCATTATGGAATTTTAGAGCAGCCTTCCCTAATCTAGAGCTCTCCAGATGTGCTGGACTAAATTGGAGGGCACCAAGTTGTGAAGGTTGTTCTTAGATAATTAAAAATACTTAATGTATGTGTTGTGATGCATGAATATATGTTGTATTGCAGTCTGTTTGGTATTTTGCTTCATAAAAGCTGTCATTCACTGTGGGTTTTTTTCCTTCCATCATCTCCAAATGTTAAAATGGAGGGAAGGTAAATCTTCCATTAGAACATGTGTTCAAAAATGTTGGTGAGTTCCCCCACTTTGGAGCATGAGTTTTGATCACTCTTTTCATTGAAAAAAGTCCTAAGCAGAGTGATGGAGAACCTCTTTTAGTCTGAGGGTTAAATTCAATTGGAGATGCTCTTTTTCAGTGGTGACAAAGAGAAAAGGAGCAGGGCCAAAATACAAAAAGAAAAAAAACTTAAATTTTTCATTTACAATGGCTTAGCTTAAGAGAGCCACCTCAGCTTTGAGAATGGAAAAAATTCTGCACAAAAGCTGGAAAACTTTGCAAAATTAGTGGTGAAGAGAAAGGGAGTGGGGCTAGGCTAGAGAGGGCATAAACTTCTCATGAACTGCAGACAGCGGCTGGATATCATGAGCTTTTCCATTCTTGCCTCTGCTAGAACAATCCCTGCAATTCTTGAATCAAGGTAAAAAGAGACATCCACCCTTCTCAAATGTTTATTTGACCTTGTGATATAGTCTTTTTGATTACTATAATACTGGGGCTTATGAATCTGCAATTTTCAGTGTCATCTAGACAATGGCTGATTTGCTGTTCTTGCAAATGTTATGCGTTCTGTCTGATACACTTTTGTCTTCTTGGGAAAGGGTGCCAGATGATAAACCATTGTGTGACATTCTTAAGCCCTACATTGATGCACACGAATCCAATCCTGTAATTTATCAAAGGTATGTACTCTTAGATAATTTCAATTCAAACTTTATGGTGTATTGGTATGTCTGTAATGTGTCTTATGCCATTGGCTTTGGTGGTGAAGGAACAGCCTAAAATATTTTAAAATGTTTAAATCTATTCAAAACAGAAAGCATATTATTTTGGTAGTTGTCTCTCAGCTGCAACATTTTTACAAACTATATGTTATCTGGCAGGATTAATCAAATGTTCTGTCTTTTCATTTAGATTAAAAATCTATGCAATATCCCCTAAGTCAGACATACAGATTCTAATGAAAGTAGAAAAGAGGCCAAACAGTTCCATCAGGTAAGAATGAGTTTATCTTTGGCTATTGTGTTTATGAAGGTAAACTGCATTTTCAAATATATTATGGGTAACAGGATGGCTGCATAGAGATCAGATTCAAAAACTCTAAAGAGAGATGGTATCCTTAGTTAACATTGGTGCTGACATAGTGCTTATCCAAAACTGAGACCAGAAAGGGCATGTGTGATGCTCTGCCATGTTTAAGATGGGCCATTGTGTTTCACTGGGTGTTTATTTCAACAATATTCAAAAGTAATGATGTGGAGAACAACAACAAAACTTCTTTGCATGAGGCACTGTGTAATGCACAACAGTGGTAGAGATCTGGATAGTTTCACTGCACTGTCTTTCCTAAATCCTGTCCCTTGAACAGTGGTCGACAGAACTTTGGCTTACTAGCTGGCCATTACTTGTGGTCATGGTTATTCCCTTTCCTCTCCTGGCCAAATGAAATAAGAGTCAACCAATCCCTCCTTGATGGAGCTGGTTATTATTTAACCATGCCCCTCCCTCCTTGGTGGAGCTGGCTATTATTTTACAGTGCCAGAATTTTGGAGAATACAGAAATGTTGACATTCTGTTTGTTCAAGACTTGGATTTGTTTCTCCTCTGTTACTGCAGCAGCAACCACAACTCTCCTCATTCTTCATTTAGTGCTGGGTGGGTAGTAGTGCTAAATAGGAAAGGCTCTCATTTGCAGCCAAAGCCAGCAGTAGCATGCCTGTCTGGTATCGCTTCAGTCCAGACCATGCACAGTGAGTGGTTTTTCTCTCTTCTGAGCCAAGCAAGTTCCTCCTCCTCATTTCCTTTCTGCTCTGGAAATGGTGGCAAGTAGCAGAAATTTGTCCAGCAAATTCCATCTATACAGCTGACATATACGCAAAGGAATCCATAAATATGGGTCATCTGACTTCCCAAATAACAGGTGCAACATGAAGAAGGATCTAATTCAGTCACAAGCAAATCAGAAGAAAAAGAATGGAAAGAAGAGGAAGGTGGGAGTTTGAAACAGCTTAGAGATTAGAAGGTGGAGAATGAATGTATCACAACTCATGTTGGATGAAAGGGAGAAACAAATCCTTTCTTTGTTATTAAATAAATATTTAATAATAAATAACAGACCAACAGGAAATATTCCCCCATCTCAGGCTGTGAGAGAGTGAGCACCTTCACCCTCCTTAGTGCTCTTGCCGCTGTGCCCTTTGTCAGTGCCCACATAGGCATTGGAGGGAGCGAGGTACAAGTGGGATGCCCGCTGTCCTTGCCTTCTCTGGAAAGTAAATTGAAACAAGCCCTTCCCTGGTTCCTCTATGCATGCCAAAGCCATTGGAGAGGCGGGACTGGATCTTGCCTTCATTTGTGTTGGCTTTTACAAAGCCATCTCAGGGGAGAACATACCTAGCTCCTGCAAATTTTTGAACTCCCTTCTACCCCTTTTCTGTAATTCATGGAAAATTTGAGAGAGCAATGCCTGCCATTTGTGGGCTAGTGGGATTAGAGGCGTATGGCATTTAAACACGTCAGGTGGCAATCCTGTACACTCTTACCTGAGAATAAGGACTTTTGAATAGGGTGGAATTCTGAGTGCACCGAAAGATTCCAGTTTTGTGACAAACTGCCTGTAATTCAAAATCCCAAAAAGATATTTCTGAAATGTGAGTGATAACAAGAATATTGTACAAATGAAGGTAATGACCTTTTAGAATGGGCTGTCACCTAAAATTACCATTAAGTATTAATAAATACTGGAGCATTTAAAGAACATGTAAGCAGATTTGTTGAACGCTATGAAATGTTAACATTCTCCCTGGATAAGTCCAGAGTACCAGTGATCAGAAACTGGGTAAATTACTGAAGTAGCCATCTAATAATTTAGTGTGTGATTCGTTATTCCTCTTCCTTCTGTTCTGGGAAGCAACAATTCCAAAAAAAAATTCTGAAGCAACCTGGAAATTTTTTCCAATTAGTTACATTTGTTTTGGAAGTAGATGTTTGTCCTTCTCAAAATAAATTAATATCTTTGTGTAATGCTTTATACTTGGGCTGCCTTCAAAATGACCTCATGGAGCAGAATTAGTGCTTTTTCCAATAAGAAAAGGGAAGAAAAAACAGGCAAATTATACAATCTGAGTGAGGAAGTACACCTCATTTTCCCAAGGAGATGGTAGGACTGACCAAGATTAGGGTTAACATTGGTGAACATCAGTGCAGATGTAATGTTGAAGCACAGGGTTCAACATTAAACCCTGTGGACCATAAACTCTTATAACAAGTGACTAGAATTGCATCTGTACCTGCTCTTAGTAATATATATTATTTATTTTGTGAAGAATTTCAGTTTGTTTTACTTGAATATTGCTGTTGAGTTGCTACCTAAATATTGTGTGGATCATATAGTTGGCAGATAATTTAGTGCCAAATGTACCTTCCTTCCAGTCTAAAAGCGACAATTATTGGAATCTGTATTTGTTCACTACATAACCTGCAATGGTAATTTACTTTCCTTTCATACTATAAACAATATTGTACACAGTATCTCAAGGTGATTTTATTTTGATCAATATCATTACTCACTATGTGCAGATAGGGGAGCAGAAGTGTATTTGATCATCCGTTTCTAATTCTAGTATCGGTGGCAGCGTACAAATGGGTACTTCTGATTTCTGCTGCTTAATTCTTCCATGGCTGAAGCAGTACAATCCTTCTGATGCTAGCTAATGGGCAATATGCAGTATAGTCTTGAAATTTACCTGCAGAAGTGGCACTTCAACTGTGTGATTCCTTCATATATGTGGACAGAGGGCATACATAGACATCTTTCCTGAATGAAATTTATATTTTTTTAACTATGTAAAGACTAAAGTATGTTATCCATTCTGTTAATGCTATTGGCTTCAGAGCTTAAAGTTTACAACTGTTATTCCTGTTTGATTTAATTGCATTTTAGCAGTTGTATAGATTATATACACAGGAGGAGTTTTCAAATGTGGGCTCTCCTAAATAGAAATTTTGAGGTTTAGTTTTCCTTTTAAGCATCCACAATGCTTTTTGGTTTATCTAAGCTTAACCTTATAGTTTTAGATTAGAAAATCCATTCTAATATGTGAGGCATTTCTACCACTGAATCCTAATTTAATTCTAATCCTTCAGTGTTGTTTAAAAGTGAATGTTTGTTAAACTGTCATTATTCTGTGAGTATAACAAAGCTTTGCATTTCTAAATGTGGAAATGGGCTTCAGAGCCCTTGCTCTTATTTCTGGTGTTAATTTCCTGTCAGTATTTTCTTTCTGCATAAGTTAACTACCTCTGTCTCATTTTCTCAGCAATAGAACTCATTTCCAGCTTATTTCAATGCATATTTAATATGTGTTAGCTAGTGTCAGATGTGTAATTTGGTCAAAAACCCGATTGATTGTCTCCAGTGAGTTAGCCAGTATAACAGTGCTGGTGCTGCTCCAGTTCTAGTTACACATTTAAAAACATTTGCATGTCACTGACTGAACCAGAACATAGGTTGGGGTTGTGTATTTGAATATGTACACAATCAAAAGCAATATGGTGCAAATCAATAGCATCTGCACTCAGATTTGTGTCTGATTAACATTCTGTGTGTTCTTCTGTTCATTGGGGTGGTGATGTCAGCAGTATTACCCAACAATGTTTTATGAATGACACTTGTGGTAATTATCTGTGTTAGTCTTGCATTTCCATTCCCTCTGACTTCACTGTTTACCCTGCCCAGCCTCCCAGCTTGTGTATATAAATCTGCCAAATTAAGTTTAACATTACATGCAACTAAAGTGGCCAATGTCCCCAACAGCTTATGCCATAGTAAATTTAATCTTTAAGAGGCCACTGGATTCTTTATGGCAAGGGGTGTGGAATTGCTGTGACAAGCTAATACAAGTTTACTTTTGGTAATGGATTTTCATCTGGAGTTCCCAATCCAACAGAAGAACTGTGTATGTAGATATCAGGTTCTGCACATGAATCACTTTAGCTGAATCATGGTGATTGCTGTGTTTGTTTTTAACACTTCTGTGGTGGATAGAATTCAGCTCTTTTCTATAACTTGATAATATAAGGAAGACATGGTACAAAGCCTGTGTTAATTAACATTTAACTTTCTTGGTAGAACAATACTGTACAAAGTAAAAGATTGGAATTACAGCTAAGAGCTGTATGCTTCCAAACCAAAAAAAAGTGAACAGATGAAGTTATCAGTAGTACATTCATTGAAGTATGTGTTTTGTACCCATCTTGATGAAATATTGGTGGCTTTCTGCAGCAGAGTTAAAGTGCTTATGAATTTCAGACTTTCTAGAACTTCATAATGGAGCTATGAAGAAATACTTCAAAGGATGTTGTGGAATTTGAGCTAGTGTATTAGAGTGAGAAGATATAACTGGGAATAGAATTATTTGGATTGCTTCTTTTGATGGGTTTGAGGGTGAAATCTTATATGTTGATGTTGAAAAGAAACCCCAAAACTATTTCCACTTCAGCTTGCCAAAAGGGAATCCCTCTGTTTATCTCTTGCTGATAGAAATGAACTAGAACTGTTCTTCTGACCTTGTTAAGAGATGTTTGACCTTCCTTCCTTGGCAGAGAAGTTGGAACATATTTGTTTTTCAAGGGTTAGTGGCTTTTTGGCAAGCAGACAGGAAATAAAACCTTTGTAAGAATGTGAAGACTTGTAATGGAATGGTAAAATACAGTTTAAGATCTTTGTTTTGTACCCCATTGTATATTAATTGAGAAAATAACCTGAACCTTCTGTTATTTGTGGAGGGATGTATGCCAAATAAAATGAATACATGGCATAACTATTCTTTTAGTAGTTTCATTCTCCCCACAGTGGATTAAAGAACCTGTGTTTCTGTTCCAAACGCTCTTGTTCATAAATGGCACAGTTATGCAATTACAATTGCATCAGCTTTTTATTCCCACTAAGTTTTGAACCCAGTACTTTCGATGCCATATCCCTGGGGCATCTAACA